ATATATCATTTAAATAAAATAAATTAATAACTAAATTAAGTTTAGCGTAATGATTCTTACCCTAAATATCAGATAAAATAAATAAGACTTTAATAATAATCATATGAAGGCACTAGAAACCGATATGATATTAAGCACTTTTATACTTTTCGAGACGCGGTTCGTGGTTTTGAACACCATAAGTAGATTCTGTGATCAATACATCTGGTTGTGCAGGAGGTAGTTCTGCAGCCATTAGATGCCTATCTTCCTCTCTCGAATAATCTCCAGTGTATAAAATCTATTATTAAATTGTATTTAATTATAAGAAGCAAATATGGGTAATACTTCAGTTTAATTAACTTGCCTTGACTCCAGCAATCTCGATCAGAAACATAGCAGCACCTAAAACATGGCCAGCATTATAACTTGTAAACTTTATCCCTTCAACCTCGACTTCTTGATGATAGTCAACAGCTTCAATTTTGTCATAACTATGTAAAAGATCTTGCTCTTCATAGAGCATTTCATCCAATGCCACATTGCTAAGTTGTAAACAAACCATAATGATTAACAACATTGTCGATAGAAAATGGTTATTAACTTTTCTTAGGCTCACCTAACTCTCACATAATCAGACAGTAACCACTTGTAAATTGCTTTTGTTGGATGAGTCATAAACACGCGTCCTTCAAACGTTGTCTAAAAAAAATTCAATTTTAATAGAATTCTCTGTCAATACCATCATGCACGATAATCAAATAGACATACCTTTTCTAAAAAATATGGTAAAGAAGCAGCATGATCCAAATGAAAACTAATATTTCACGAATCATCATATCAAAAAGAATGTTCAGATAAAAAAACATCAATGCACTTCTTAATAAAATTTAAGGAGGGTAACATGAACATACTGACTAATAAGCAACACATCAACTGTTGCAGGATCAATCTCATCATAAAATGGAAGGGCCGCAAGGCCATTATATGCAGGATGGATACCCGCGTCAAGCTACGAAATCGTAAACATAACTTTATTATTTTTGTTATTAATAAAAGTAGTTGTACATAAAACTAGAAAGTCGTTTTATTAAACGAAACATAGACGCTATTTTATTATTGGCTGTATGCATAAAAATCTATAGTACCATTATTATCTTGCCCTTGTATTGAATCACTAGGCAAGATCTTCCAACTTCGTTTCCAGCACCCAAAGCTGTGATCTGTAAAACGTCATTTTCGTCGGTAATTGGGATTTCAAAATCTTTACGATTAGCCATTATGGTTTTATAATTTTATTTCACTACCAAATTTACGTGAATTATTTATTTTGATCAGTCAATTTAACGCCTCTAAAATTTAAACTCTATACCGATACTGTAGTATAATATGATAAAATCTTTACTTCTGAACTTTTTATTCGTAGGATAATGCGCAGCATTAGTTATCACGTTCTATGCATAACTTTAATGCATCAAAAACGAAACTTTGATATCACTTAAATCTTCCATGAAATTTCCTCCGGACAAAAACTATATATTTATTGCTAAAAGCTTTTTTATACTTTAAATATTTTATACAGAGCTTATTGGGAAAAATCAAGAGAATTGCAATACATATTTGTTTCTAATTGTTATTTAGATCATTGATTAGTAGTTTTTTAATTAAAGAAAATAATTTTTTATCTTCTCAACGATATCACTATATTTCGGCATTCATCTGACGATGCAGACTTTCTAAAAAAGCTGGATCCTCGACAACCTTTATTGCTTTTTCATAGATGCTAGTTGCTCGCAGTCGTTCATTGTTGACCAGAAGGAATTTAATGTAGCCTAACCACAAATCTAATGATAGTGATGATGACAATTATTAGTATCACATCTCAAATTCCAAGTCAGTGAAAAAAATTCAGATTTAGAGGATGTGCATTCTGCGCACTAAAATTTTTAAAAATGAGCATTTAAATTTTTTTGATACTATCGTTATGGCTGACTAATTAATTAAACCTATGCATATAGATGAGTCAATAGAAATCAAGCAAATTTTTTATAATAAAATTTTTTTAAACTTTGAACACCAATAATAAATTTGTTAAGTTATTTGGTTTAAAGCTTTAAAAAATTTTATTATAAAAAATTTGCTTGATTTCTATTGACACACCCACATATGCTTTTATTCCTATATTCCACGGCCCCTAATGTTCACCCGTGAACATTACTGATGATATTATTTTTATGATGACGTAATGCCGTGAAAATATCAAAAATTATTCCACGGTCATTACGTCATCATTAAAAATTTTAATCAGAAATGTTACGGGAATAGGAACCGTGGAATATCTATTACTAGTAAAATTATAATGTACGGTGATGCGCACATTCAAAATTTTTTTTGTTGTTCACAAAATAAATTTTATGTGCGGAATGAACATAGCGCACGTCGATTTTTTTCACTGTTACAAATTGTTATTAACAGACAATTTGATAGCTACAAACCACATGGTGCATTATCAAATTGACAAGCTCGATCATATAACCATTCTAAATGGGTTTTCGCGTCTGGTGCCATAGGCGAAGTTATATGCTTGTCTTCTATTTGAATGCATGTTTGATAAAACTCAAGAGTCGGTAGGATCTTACTTAAAAGACTATATTAAGCAAAAGTTTAAAGGATGAATAAAGAAGTTTATATTAAACTATTTAAATATTCTTAACATGAGTACCTTTTATAAACTTGACGCGTCTTTTTCAGCCCTCCAACCTCATCAGCCCATGTTAAGTATCGGTCGACAACTTTATTTTTCGCCTTCTTCGGATGATGTTCGTCAGTAGTTATCAAACTTAACGCTAATGATGCGACCTTAGAAACCGATGCCTAAATAAATACCTCCAGGTCAATTTTGTTAAAAA